GTGGAAACTCGTTTTAATGATAATTTGTTCTTTTCTATCGATAATCTGTCACCACTGCGTACGTTCGTATCACAGTGTGAAATTCAGTTTTCATCTTCTCTTCTATTTAATTGATCTAATGTCTAAACCTTAATTTTTCCTTCTAGCTTTAATGTTTATGTATCTTTTGTAACAAAAGATATTTAAAAAGAGTTAGTTGAGTTTTGGTGTTTTAATAAGAATCAGAAAAGACAAAACATCATATGTTTAGAATAGCAATTGATACTTATAAGTTTACTTATAGGTTACCTTTTTTGTTGTATGTTTAGGCTAAGCTTTTTTTTTTGCTAGTCTAAGTTGTCTTAAAGTTTACCATTTTTATTATAATAATAATATTCTAGTAATATAAGATATGATTAAAAGTTGATATTATATCATTGTTTAGCAAATTAAATATAATATATGATTAAAAGTTAATTTTATTTTATAGTTTTAAATTAATAAGATAAATGAAAAGGACCAAAAAAGTGGGTTTTAAAAGATTCCGTGAGCTTTTGACATTTAGTATACCGCTATTGTTTAATAGGTGGTCCTGCCATTTAAAGACTTAAGAAAGAATCAATAAGTAAATGATTAATGAGAAGCTCTTTGGTCGGCTATCCATTGATTTTGGAGATATACTAATGGAGAAACTAACAAAAGAAGAAAAAACTACAAAAGTAACATTTTGTGTCTAAGAAAAAGTAACATTATTAAATGCTTTGCAAAAGTAAACATAAATTTTGATTCTATATTTCTTAGTCCAACCGCAATAAGGAATCTTTAGGGAGAATCATTAGGAAATTATTAATTTTATAATCAATAGGTCCCATGAACAATTAATCATTATATAAACCGAAATATCTTTTTTTTTCCTAAGAATTCCCCCCCCAAAGATCCGCCATTGCAGATGCTATATAAACCGAAATATCTTTTTTTTTTCCTAAGGATTCCCCCCCCCCAAAGATCCGCCATTGCAGATGCTCTTACCCCTCTTAACTATAACAAATAATTATATATAATATTACAATTATCTTAGAAGAAAAAAAAAAGAAAAAAAAATACTATAATAAACAATATGAATTATCTATTCTTCCTTGAAGTAAACACAAAGTATAATACCTGATGGACTAACCTTTTCTAGTCTGATCGACAAACCTCTAAAATTAGTGGAAATGTGGACGTGGTGGACCTGGTGGTAGGGGGAGAAGAGGAGGTGACTGGGGGTGGTTCCCGATGAAGATGTGGACGTGGTGGTGGGGGGAGAGGCCGCCGCCCGCCGGTGATGGAAATGTAATTGTCCGATGTCTGAATCAGAGCAACATAATCTGCTTACTTTGATGACATAAAGTTGACTCTATATCGGTAGTGCCCGTACATGATAGATCACCAACAGTTCTTAACTCAATTAAAACTAACGTGCCTAAATGCTGAGAATGTCCTTTTCTCTTTCCTCTCATTAACACGAAGCGTAAAAACATTTGTTAACATATAACACTTCTGTTAACGTCTACAATATTTGTTAACAGCCAACACATTTATTACCGCGAAGCGTAAAAATAATTGTTAACAATTAACATTTTTGTTAACGTCTACAATATTTGTTAACAGCGAACACATTTATTAACGCGAAGCGTAAACATAATTGTTAACAACTAACACTTCTGTTAACGTCTACAATATTTGTTAACCGCTAACACGACGTCAAATCTAAAACCCAGAAAATTGATATCATCAAAAAATTGAGGATTCAAAGCCACTTATGAAAAAAATAATGAAATTTAAAATTTAATTGAATATAGAATGATAGAGATTTGGAAAATAATTAGAGATTGGAGAGAAAAAAGGTCAAAATTGAGGATTCAAAGCCACTTATGAAAAAATAATGAAATTTAAAATTTAATTGTATATAGAATGATAGAGATTTGTAAAATAATTAGGGATTGAAGAGAAAAAAAAAAGGAGAGAGAGAGTGTAGAGAAGGGCAAAATGGTCCAAATGAAAGTGATTGTCACATCATGGGAAATCTCTAATTATAGGTGCCAAATATGACACTTTAACCAATTAACTCTAAACTAGATTTTGAACCCGCACATCCGTGCGGGTATTTTTTCATTTTATTAAAATATAACAAAACTCTTCAAATATATATGATTTTTATTCTATTGTTATATATTGTATAATTGTATAATTTTATAATTTTAATTATTTTGATATAATATATTGTTTTAAGTTTTAAAATAAAAACAATATTAATATATAATTTATTATATNACTAGATTTTGAACCCGCACATCCGTGCGGGTATTTTTTCATTTTATTAAAATATAACAAAACTCTTCAAATATATATGATTTTTATTCTATTGTTATATATTGTATAATTGTATAATTTTATAATTTTAATTATTTTGATATAATATATTGTTTTAAGTTTTAAAATAAAAACAATATTAATATATAATTTATTATATAATGTATTTGTTGTGAGTTACAAAAATATATGATTTAAAAAATTTAATATGTTTTAAAAGGGAGTGATATTTATTTATTTATTTGAATAAAAGAAAATTTTTAAAACAAAATATTTTCCTTTTACCAATTTAATATATTTTATATTCATTTCACATAGCATTTTATTTTAATATAATATAGAATATAACTAAATTATAAAATATAACAATTTTTATTCTTAATTAAAATTAATATAGATATTTATATATATTAATCACGAAATTAAATAATGTATATTTTATAAAAATATTTAAACTTTTTAGTAAGATCTTGTTAGATATTTTCTCAACAAATTTATTACTAATATCTTATTAATTATTAAAATATTCTTCCAGTTATATATATTTGATTGATTAATATAAATAATCAAATATATCATATTAATGAAATGGTCCAACATGACTTTTTTGTAGTAGATGTAAATGGTACTTCTCTTTTAATAGAGAAGATATTATTCTGATGGATGCTTTTATTGTTTTGGGGTCAACAAACAAATGAAGGTAGATTTTACCTATGCATCATGTTTGTATTGTATCGAAAGCCCAACATTTATTTAAACTTTTTAATAAATGAATACAAATTAAATTATACTAGTCATAAGTAATCATTGTTCATAAATTTCTACTAACTTTTATGTGATCGTAAATGACTATTCCTAGTTCTTTATCGAACATTTTCTTTGATGTAGTGAATACGAACCCTAGACCATGATCAAACGATTAAAAAGCATGAATTTGGTGCTAGGTATTACAAACAGTTTGGTTAATATATTTATATAATATCTTCCACCTGAAAACAATCTATAGATACATAGATACATTAATATAATAGCTGAGTTGTTAATATTTTTTTGTATTTTAAAAATGTATTCGTATAAAAGTTATAAAAATATGTTTGTAAATATAATATATTTTTGCTTCCATGTTATTAGTTGTTATTCATTGGTTTTGTATAAAGCCATGGATTTCCTTATAATTGGTGAACAATAATAAAATAATTTCTGTGTATGCATGTTGTTGATATTTTTTTTACTATTTATACTCAAAATTTAAAGTTTAAATATAAACGATAGTGACAAAATTCAAAATGTAATAAAGGCATATAAAAAAGCTTAATTTTTTTGTACGTATATAAAGACCCCCTCTGTTCATAATAAGTGTCATTTTAGCTTTTTAATTTTGTTTCAAAAGGTGTCATTCTACCGTGCCAATGTAATTATGTACATTCAATCTATTTTTTATCATTTTGAATAACCAATAATAGTTTACTTAAATTATTTCTATTTAATTAAACATACATTAAATAGGAATATAAGTCTATTCTATAATTTTCTTAGTTTATATGTAAAGTGACATTTATTTAGAAACAAAGGGAATGTATTGTTTTGTAAAGAAATACTCCTTCTGTTCTATTATATTATAATTTTCACATAGATTTAGGCAGTCGATACAATATTATGTTTTTATTCTTAATGCTGAGAATTTATTGCTGTTCCAAATGCATAATAAAAATGTAAGGGTAAGTAAAGTCATTTACCATTAGATTTTGCATTGATTTCCGGAAAACTTTAGTTTGGATTTACCCTCTATGGTGAACCTCTAGATTTACCATCCAGTAAAATTGTATTATTTTTTATATTTGATATATTTTAAAGAGGAAACAAAATCTTATTAAGTTCTATCATGTTTTTAAAAATAAAAATATAAAAAATAAATAAAAATAATAATAATAATTAATAAAAACGAAAAATAATTATTTTTAAAGAAAATCTTTTTACACTAAACCCTAAATCATAAACCTTTGGATAAATCTTATAGTATTTTAAAATTTTAGTGTTTATGATTTATCCAAGAGTTTAAGATTAGATTTTAGGGTTTAGTGTTTATGATTTACTCAAGGATTTAGGGCTTAGGATTAGAGTTTAGGGTTTAGGATTAGATTTTAGGGAGTATCACTTATAAGCTACAAAAGTTATGAATCAATCGTAAAAAAACATACTGCATAATATAAATTGTCATATTTATATGAAAATATAGAAAATATTACCTAAAACGAAACAAAGTGTTTGGCTAAACATCACTTTTATGACTCAGGGAGATGACTTTTTCGTCAAGAAGAATAGTCGCTATAGAAAATGCTACAAGGTGTATTTTTTGTCAGTAATTACCTGTCCCAGATACCCACCATTATAAAATGGTATATGCGTCTGGTATATGCTCGAGGTATATGCTAACGAAGAGATTCCTCGTTACAGCTCGTACGGCGTCGTATAACACTTAAAACAACTTGTAATATAATAGTTTGCTAACTTCGATGTGACATTGTGACAACATAGAGTTATTTGTTTGGTTAATACTATTTATATATGTCGCGTGTCAATCACATTCCTCCGTATCATTCAAGCCAATCCCAACCAAAACTGTTTCAAGAGAGAACAAGCTAAAAAATTGTCTTTAACCTAGCAAAAAAATGAGTGCATTAATGGGCCATCCATTGTTCCCAAACTTTGTGTGGGAGTCAACGGGAGAGTACGAGAGCTACAACATTGTCGGAGATAACCATATCAACGACACGTATCTTGATTTTCCGGTGCATGAGTCGTATGGAGTGGCTCATCATCAGACCAGCTTAGGGGTTTCTGTTTCGTCGGAGGGAAATGGAATAAACAACAATTCTGTCGTGATCAAGAAGCTTAATCACAATGCTAATGAACGTAACCGTCGCAAGAAAACCAACTCTTTGTTCTTGTCTCTTCGTTCATGTCTTCCAGGCCCTGATGAGCCGGTAAGGAGCTACATATGTCATCTGAATACGTTTCATATTAAAACCAGTTAGCAATATATTTAGGTTGTTTATTCGATTTAATACTATTTAGAAGAAGAATATTTAATCAACCCCTTTTCTTTTTGCTTTATTTTAGCTAAGTATTCCTCAGACGCTTTCGCGAAGCGTGCAGTACATACCTGAGCTGAAAGAGCAAGTAAAGAAGCTAAAACAAAGGAAGCAAGAACTCTTGTTGCGAGTATCGGGTCAAAGAGAACGTTACGTTAAGCTGCAACCAAATGTGGTCGCTAGTTATGTCTCCACTGTTTTTGCGACTGAGTTAAGAGACAACGAAGTGATGGTACAAATCTCATCGTGGACCAAATATCATAATTTTTCGATATTTAATGTGTTGAGTGGATTAGAAGAAGATGGGTTTGTTTTAGTAAATGTTTCATCTTCGAGCTCTAGAGGAGAACGACTCTTCTACACTTTGCATCTTCAAGTGGGCAAGATCGATAAATACAAGCTAATTCGCGAAGAGTTGAGTCAAAGGGTTTTGTACTTATATGAGGGATGTGGAAACTCGTTTAAAAGATAATTTGTTCTTGTTTCTCGAGCTTTGTCGTTCTTTTTTATAGATAATATTTAGTTTTTGATTAATAATGCGTAGTAGACTTTTGTAGTCGAAGTGTTTCTGTTTTTTTTTTGGTCGAAGCCAATGATCGGTTACTAATAGACTCACTACGTTCGTATTATTAATACGAATAGCAATTATAATTGGTGCAAATATATCTCAAGTGCCAAAGCATTTGATTATTCCGTCTACTCTTGTTTATATATCTTGAGTAAGCCGAGTTTTGGTGTTTTTAATTAAAAAATGAGAGTGTTAAAAAAAAATGAGAAAAGACAAAATAGTGTGTTTCGAAGATTCGGTGAGCATTTGACATTTATTTATTTATAATAGATGGTCCTGCCATTTAAAGACTTGTCAATAATTAAATACATAGTTAATGAGAAGCCGATTGGTAGGTGATCCATTGATCTTGGAGATATATTAGTACAAAAAGTAAAACTAACCAAAAAATAATAATGCTGGATCCGTATTTATTACCGCATCTTTAGTATTATAAAGTTTTCCAGTGAGTACTATTAGTACAAGTTTAGAAGAGAAAAAATATTATATAAACACAGAAGAAGAATTTCCTGGAATAGCCATTTTTAGTTTACTTTCACAAGATAGCATCCAAAAAAGAAAATGACGAAAATAAATTTTATTAAAGAATAAATATACTCTTATACTACTAGAGTTAAATAATTTTATTTTTTTCTGTTTAGAGTTGAGAGGTAGAATTTTGGGGGTGGAGTTTAAAATTTTTTAAAAAATAAAAAAATAAACATTGAAAATTTAAAAATAAAATTTTTAAAAATAGTTTCAAAATTCATTTTCGATATAAAAATATATAATTGGGTTTTGTCTTAGTTTAAAGAATATTTTGATATAAAATCAGTTCACCAAAATGTGATGATTATTTTTCATTAGTTTTTAGTTTCAGTTTTTATTTTTAGATTTTGGTTTTTGATCTATAGTTTTTAAGTTTCTACTTTTCATTTTCAGTTTTTGGTTTGAGTTTTTAATTTTTAAACCCGCTGAGTTAGGTTGAACTAATATTACCAACAAACAAATCTCAAATAATCGAACATCTAATTCAAAACTGAAAAGGTGACAACAATTTTTTTAAAAAAAAAATTTGAAATAGTTTATTTTGTAAATAAACAAAGAAAAAAATATAACATGTGTTTTCAGCTTTTGGTTTTGGATTTTAGTTTTTAGATTTGGTTTTTGGTTTTGCTTTACATTTTTTAATCAGTGAATTATTTAAGAAAAATAAAACAATAAATTATTTAAAAGTTACCATTGAAATTTATCAAAACAAAGTGATTGTTATTTAGAATAAAAAAAATATATTAACATGTTTAAAGTACATGATTCAAATAAATGATTAATAATAGATAATTTTGTTTTGTTAAAAATATTAAATACCTTTTGGATCTGAAAATAATAATTGATTTTTTGATCTTTTAAGGTGAAAAGTTTATTCAATGTTTTTAGAGTTTTTTTCTTAATACTAAGCCCAAAAACCAAACTATATAATTTGTTCAAAATATAAAAGTAAGCCCAAGACTATATTCCATAAATAACCACTGGTTTAATTTAAGTATAATTAATAGATTTTCATATTCCATATTTTGATGATATATATTCTTTTAGAACATTCCATATTTGTAGGAGAAAATATGTGTTTTCGGTATACACATAGATACCTGCCATATTTTGAAGGTAGTTTACATTAAGGTCGTCTCTTTACATTAATTGTGTTGGTTTAATTTAAGTAATATGGTTCAATCAATTATATGACTTATATTATTTGTAACATTCTAGAAATGGTCCAAATTTAAATGACAACTTGTATCAGTAGATAAAAAGAATGAATCTATTTTAATAGAGTAGAAGTTTTCCAGTGAGTACTATTAGTACAAGTTTAGAAGAGAAAAAATATTATATAAACACAGAAGAAGAATTTCCTGGAATAGCCATTTTTAGTTTACTTTCACAAGATAGCATCCAAAAAAGAAAATGACGAAAATAAATTTTATTAAAGAATAAATATACTCTTATACTACTATAGTTAAATAATTTTAATTTTTTCTGTTTAGAGTTGAGAGGTGGAATTTTGGGGGTGGAGTTTAAAATTTTTAAGAAAAATAAAAACATAAACATTGAAAAGTTAAAAATAATTTTTTAAAAAATAGTTTCAAAATTCATATTCGAATTCCCAAAATAATTTTTTTTAAAAAGTTTTGAGAAATAAACTTTCGAAAAAATTAAAAAAGTTTGAATTTGTAAGCATATAATCCGAAATTATAAAAAATGATGATTTATTTATATTGCTTATTGTGTTAATTATTTATTTATATGTATATATCTATAAAGTAAGTGGTAGAAAAATCTTTTGTCTCTATAGTGAACCCCTATTTTGATCATTTTGTGAGAGAATTACCCAAAACATAATCATTGATTTTTTTTTTTTTTTTGTAGTTGTAATCATTGATTCTTTCTTAAAACAAATTGACGTTGAGTCCGAGTCTAGTACAGTAGCGGACCCACCTTATGACTAGTAGAGGCATCTGATAACACAAAAGTTTGATAATATGTCGTTTTTATATAGGTAATTGCCAAAAATTCAGTAGTCTGATATTGGCTAACCGTAAAATAAGTCTTATATTGTCTAGTAAAATACCTAATGAACTAAGCTTTTCTAGTTGGATATTGGATAGCCGTAAAATAAGTCTTTTTGGCAAAATAACCCCTAAAATAAGTTTTATAGCTTAAAACTAGTGACTAGACCAATCGCTTATATATTATTTGTGAAATGGTTTTGACATGTGTTATCACCATAATTAATTTCACAAAAAACAAGATGACATATCTACTAATAATAATGACATGGCTTAGAATTAATTGTGGTATATACATTTACATTTAATGTCAATATATATTTTTTATAAGTTTTTAGAATATGATAATAACTCATAAATTATCATTAACATAAGAATAAATAATATAATAGTAGAAATTGAAATATAAAAATATTTACAAATTTTAAAATAATTTTCAGGTCTACTTTTTTATAATTATATAATTTTATTAATAATTTTGTTTCAAAATTTTATACAGATTTTTGTAAAAAAATATAATTTTCTAATCACAATGTCGTTAGTTTATTTATAACATCTATAAATTTTAAAATTTATTTAATTTTATATTTTGATAATTATATACCTAACAAAGTTTTCTCTTAATTGTATAGAATCTGATTTAAAATATTTTAACCAAAAAATAAAGATAAAAGAATCTTTCCCAAATTTTAATTTTAAAAATATACATATATTATTAAATATAATTTTAAATAATTTTTTTTATTTTATCTTCATTTTTACATATAATTAACGTAAAATTAATAATGTAACAAAATAATAAATTTAAAAATTAAATAATTTTTTTTTAAATATACTTTTATTTTAAAAACTTTTATTTCTACACATGGTGCTGGAAAACACCTAGTTGTTTATAAACACCTACCAGATGTTAATCCAATCAACAAAAATTACAAAAAGAAAACTTGTAGGAGTCGTAAACTTGATAAAACTACGAATAAAATCAATAGATTAACAATGAATCTAAGAAAATACGATTAAAATAACTCACAACACGTTAATATAAAACTCTCTCTCTTTCCTTAATGTGAAAAGATTCTTTTTATCTTGCAAATCTAACATTCTTGACCGGAGCATTGTAGAATTGTAGTCGAGTTGTTTTGTTTTTTTGGTGGAAGTCAATGATCGATTACTGCATGCTAATTCCACAGTTTACTATAAGTAAATCATATATATATATATATATATATATATATATATATATATATATATATATATATATATTTGTCTACACTTCGATTCATTACCGGTTACAAAATAGTAATATAAATATGGTTTGGCTGGCAAACTCCTTTTCTTACGGGAAGCAGGTCTCCTGCTACTCTTTGTTTATTTACATTTTTGTTATTATGCAAGAATATAATCTATTACTATTTGGGTTTTGGTTGTATTGTTTAATTAATATGAGGAAACACAAAAAGAGGGTAAATAGCATACAACCGTACGACTACTAATATCATCATTTGTGGGCAACATTATCTTAAAGAGATTTTAACATGATTTATATAAATACTAAATTGTAGGCTCTAACTGTGCAAGTGAGCACGTTGCAGTTATTAATTAATAGATTAGACGGACCTGACATTTAAAGAGTAATCAAGATTTGTTAGAAGCTATGGTTATTTATTGATGTTGGAAGCATCCAAAAAAAAATGTTTGAGAAATAAGCCTTTTATTTGTCTGTTTATAATACATGTACGTCCAAATATTATTATTAGTCAAGAGAAGATGTTTGACGGCACAAAACAAATGTTGTAGCATAGACTGGTGGCACGGTCACAAAAAGAAGTCACATCAAAAAGGTGATACACATTTTAGAGAGGCATCAAAGAGAATGTTTTTAAAGAGATTTGGTTTTGGAAAAATAAAAGAAATCTTTGAATGAAGTTTTTTTCTGGTAGAGTAAAAAAAAGGGGTTTAGAGAGGTTTGGTTTCTTTGCTTGGTTTAAAACATATTTACATCAAACAAGAATAGTAGGATGATAGCTGTAGCTTTCAAAGTATTATATTATTTTTGGAATGTGAGTCACCATAAGAATATATGAAACCTCCTTGATTCACATTTACAATTTGGGGATATTAATACTTGATCAACTCTTGGAAGAATAACTACATCAGAACATATTCTAGTGTAGACATAGATGGCATCAAGTTGACCCAAATATCATAGTGGCTTTGCTGTGTCAAATTATGAGGCCGCATTTATTTAAATTAACAATGTTTATGTATAGGTTTAGAGCATCTTTGCAAGTTTGTCAAGTGATTTCTCAACAAATATAAAACACTAAATATTTATTAAATTATAGATGAGCATTTCAAATT